ATCTAAATGCAGGAGGGATTATCTGGAAAGTATAAACAAATGTTCTGCTTCCCTGACCAAGTTCTCTTGTGTACTCGCATTTGCACATATCTGCATGTGTTTAGAAGATCTAATCTCCCCTGGATGCACATAACTCTATTTTCTCTTTACTCAGCTAAACTGAACACCAAAATGCAGGTAGCTGCACAGTATGCATTTAAAAATGTCCTATACACATGTGTGCGCATGTATGTCAATACCAGGACGAATAATGCAAAGAACCCATAGAGCAGTGCTTGACAAATTTGCTTTGAATCTAGGAGCCAGCCAACAAAAGTAAGTTGTGTTTTTTTCGTTATTTTTCAATTTTATTTAACTTTCATTTTTTTTAAAAAGGGGGGTGCAATGGGAGGTGACAGGTTATCTTTAAGGTGACATTAGGGATTGTATTAAAACCTTAGTGTCACCTTTCCACCTAAATAGCTTTAGTTGGGGAATGTTGTAAACACAGCAGGCAGTGGCTGGGAGCAGTAGCCACCCTGCTATTGGCTATTTAAAATTGCAACAGCAAGCTGGCTATTGCACCCGACAAAAAGTTTTCTTTAACTCTTGGCGCTAATGGCTGCCAGCTGAACGATCCACTTCCTGTTGCATACTCAAAGTTTTCAACAGTTTTTCACACAGACTTGAGGGGCTGCTCATCCAAGGCTCTGGGGCTTCCACCACGAACATAGAAAACAAAAGGGAACAGAGCGCCACCTCCGTGTGTAAAATCGTTTATTAGGATAAATAAAACAAGGATTCTGATGAAGGGGGCTTGCCCCTGAAACGCGTCAATCTTGGCTGAAGGTGGAAGGTGATGTGACCGGAGGCTACCGTGTTACATAGTCGGGGTGATACCATGTTGGGTTAACAGACAGTGTGGCCTCTTTGTTGTTAAAGCCTGATGAAAACGTTTGTTTGTGAGTACATTTATCCCTTGTTTTATTTATCCTAATAAACGATTTTACACACGGAGGTGGCGCTCTGTCCCCTTTTGTTTTCTATGGCTATTACACCCGCCCACTGCCTGCTGTCAATCAGCAGAGGAGGTGCCTGAAGGAGAAAGTTCACACAAGTATTGTGTAAGTGTAAACATGATTGAATTGGAAAGCCATCCGGTTCATTGAAGGAGCTTTTAGTATTTACGCAGCCCAATTCTAGCTTGGGCAAAAAATGCTAGATCAGCGCCCCCCCCCTTCCCCAGCATTCATTAAAGATAAAAAAAAGCAGCTCTGGCTATAATACTCTATCCCCAGCGCTGTTTTCAGACTCCTGCGGTCACCGATCCAGTGTCCCCTCTCTTCCGGATTGAGTGATTCCCACTACCTGCATTGTCAAGGATCCTCCCCCACCCTCTGGACTCGCAGGTTATTCTCCATTCACTCTTTAGCGGTTTTAAATGTGCTAAACATAAAAACGGTGCATTAATAGGGATTATCGATACTGGTATTGGTGCCGATACCGAGTATTTGGATGAGTACCAGAACTCCCGGAAGCCGTGCGGCGAGTCATTATCACCAGGGAGCATGGAGACTTCCGATATTGGTATTTGATATCGTCAAGTACAAAAAGAAAAAAAAAAACCTTGGTACTTGTACTCGATACAGAAACACCGGTATCGGTGCATCCCTAGTATTAAAGATAGAGTGTGTATTTTGTGGGTTCAAATGCTGTTAATTTTCTCTGACTGTTTTCTGACTGTTTGAGCATTGTGGCTGTTCAGTGTCACGGTGCAGAATCTGATTGCCTCGGAATTGAAATGCAGTCTGTATGGGGCGACTAAAGGAGGCTGCCATCAAAGGCTTCTCGGAGAGGTATCTATCCTCCACATGAATTCTCATTAATTGTTTGGATGGTTTATTGTAATCTCGCAGTCTACAGGTATACTATTGCTATATAGTATCGCTGTATGTGCCCTAAAATGATTCTCTGGAACTGCAAATGTTTTTTCCCCAAACGTTTGGATGCTTTTGAAAGGACATTTAATAGTGAAAGGTTTGGCACGAGCCAATAAATAGTTTACTGATGTGTTAATAAATTGTCTGTTTCTTCTCAGATGCCTTTACATATAAGACAGTCGTTTATCAGTGATAGAGAAAATACTTTTTTGTAGAGCGTGTACTGTATGTCATAAGAGGAACAACTGGATAGTTGTATGGCTGTTGGATTCATTCAGGGGCTTGGGAATCTCTAGGTATTGGGAAATTCATTTTAGAAAGGTCTGCTGCTCTCCTATTATAATTGAGCAACAATGTTTTAAACCCGTTGTTAGAGAAGGGGCTTTTTATGAGGATTGGTTGTTTGGAAACCATCTACATGTTCTCACATTGTTCAGTGTAGGTGAAAGATGAATAAATGTGGTTGTGGTTATAGTAAACACACAATGTTCTCATGTTATGAATGAACAGGAACACTCAGTATAGAGCAGTGGTTCTCAACCTCTCTAGGGCCGGGACCCCTTGGTAACATTTGCCAAGTTGTGGTGACCCCCAAAGGTAAAATGTAGGAATGACGCGGCTGCTGCAGCGACATCTGGTGGGAGAACTGACACTGCTGTGCTAGGACGGGGCTGACGGGTCAATTCATAGGTGTGTTTAAATGTCCCAGATGGTGGATTCAGTATTAACCCTTCATGAGTGAATGCATATGGGTGATGAGAACGTTGTCAATTTTAAAGTGGTGATGGGATATGGTGCAATATTACTTGTGTATAAATTATACATGTTTCAATAAATGAATTTATATATTTTCTCAATATATGGTGTGAAATAACTCTTTTGAACCGGTCAGCTAGATGTATGTGGTTATTTGCAGAATCGCCCAGTCCAGAATGTTTGTGGATGGCACTGGTTTATCTATACAGATAAGCAATCTTTTCTACGCAATCTTTGGCAGCTAAATATAAACCGAAGTCTGTACAGTTGTGGCATCTGCAAAGTTCAACTAAGGATTTATTTTTGAAACAAAGTAAACTTAAATTAATCTATGATACATAGCCACCTAGTGGCAGTGACTAAAAGCGTTTTTAATTTAACTGCTTCGCTGTTCTGGCATTCTTCCTCTCCACGTGCTCTTTGTTGTGGTTTGTCTTACTAGTAAGCCTTTATGGAAAGACTGAATAGGCTGGCCTCTTAAATGGTATTTACATAACTATTACCTATTAATGAGTTTGCTCGGCATTGACTGCAGGATTTAGCATTGCCAAGGGTGACACAGAGCAAGTCTTCTGCTATTTTATTGTGACAAGCTCTGGAAAATGGGTCCCTGACCACGCAGCCTGCATTTAGCATTGCTGGATAAAAATATCTAGTTTTGCATTTAAAACACCCTTTATAGAGTGCTTTTTATACATGCCGGTTCAGCAAGCTAAGGCCATTTACGTTTTCTACATAGAAAAGCTATCAACACATCTAAAACATAGCGTATTGCATGACTTAAAATGCATGTTTAAAAACACATTCTAAGAACAGACACATGAACATCACATATTCATAATATAATCCCTGCTGTATTGAACTTGTATTGTAACTGTACTATCTTTTTGTAAAGCACTGCACAAACTGGGCACTATATAAATCCTGTATAATAATAATATTAGATAACATTGTCATTGATTTTATACATTTCTGATGATTTGGATTCTCAAGACAACTTAAGACTGACTTGCACTTTAGTGGTTCAGGTCCTTTCAATGGTCCTTTCAAACACATGTCTGTAGTATTCCCCTAATACTAGTGTTATATAGACAATAGTTTTTCTTAGATGCATGATTTATCCAGTGTCCCCATCCCCCCTTATTCTTGCATAAAGCAATTCAACAGGTTTCATACCCAGTGAGTTGGTGTGTTTTCTGATATCTCAAATGCAGTGATACAATGCCTCTAGTGGTGAAATCATTTTACATCAGATTTGTTAGCAACTGGTAACTGATCTAGGCTTGTACTGAAGTGAAAATATCTTCATAGAGAATTTATTCATAAACTCCGTAAGATGAAACTTCTTTCTGGTTTGGGGATTTAGGTGAAATTTTACAAGCTAGTGAAATGAGGATTTGTATCGTCTGTTAGACTAACTCAGTCTAGCAAGTTAATATACCTTCCCATATGCATTTGTTTTTTTCATAGTTCTACAACTTATTCCTTAGTGTGTTGGAGAAGGTGTAGAACCACTTGCATCGGTCTTGTTTTAAAGGTACTTCAGTGCTGTTGTCCCTCAGTAGTCACAACAGACTCCTGATTGTGGACACAGTCCTAAATCTTTTTCTTCAGCCCCTGTTCTGAATGAACAGGAAGCCTCTATACCGAGTACTCTTGTCCGTTCTTAAATTGAGGCGATAGTAACAGTAACTGTCCACAATCGTGAATGAACAGAAAGTGATGTAGAGCATTTCCTGTTAATTCACAACTGGGGACACGGTAAGAATGCTATGTCCTCAGTTATTTACAAACACTCAGCGATCAGTACAGATCACTGAGTTTACTTCACTCTCCATGCTGAATCACCTTTCTCCTCCCCGCTGGGCATCGGTCTGACAGTTTCTCTCTTCCCAGCTGGACACTGGACTGTGTCCCCTCTGATCCCCGCTGCTTCAACTAACACAGGCGGGGGAGAGCAGCAGGGATCGCAGAGGACACAGACCATCGCTCAGCGGGGAGGAGAGAAGCTAGGCCGTTTTGATGTTATCAGCATTTTGCCCATAGTGCCATTTTCAGTGGCCGAAATAATTTAATAATAATGAACAAGAGCATATGCCACTTTCCCCATTATAATACAACGAATAAGAATCTGTTGAGTGTTGACTGACATGTTTAGATTGTTAGTGGTAATTGTAAGCTAGAAGGTCAGGGCCTGGTTATAAGAAAAATCAAATCAGCAGAGTAACCCATTTTGGTTTGACAGATCTTACATTCATTTATTCTGTCTTGCAGATTGTATTTAATGCTATGCTGAGATTCATGTTCTATTTTCTTTGTCCTTAGGTTGAACGGTGATCCAGTGCTGATAAGTGCCGCTACAGCAAACCTTAAACCAGCCTTTACATTGAGTCATTGCTCTCCTTCATAGACGAATCTCAAGATGATCACGTCAGAGCTCTCAGTGTTGCAGTAAGTACATTACTAACACTTTTACAGGCATTAATCTTGGTTTAATATTGTGTAAAATATGTATATCATCTTTTTGTTTTAGGGATTCCACCAATGACACCGGTGCACCAGTACACACGGACATGTCTGCAGTTGCCAGTGAAATGAGTTCCGACATTACTGATGACATGACAGAGGTCAAAGGCAAAAGAAAAAGGGGCCGCCCTGGAAGACCACCAGTACGTAATCAAACGGCTCCATCTAAAACAAAGTATGCCCTTGCTTCTGGCAAATATATGGAGTCAATCCAAATCCATTCATCCTAATAAAATTGCATTATCTAAGGTGTTTATAGAATGGCTTTATGTCCAAAATGTCAAGTAATGAACACAGACATCTATAATCTGACAAATTAAATATTGATTTATGGGGGGAGGAGGGCATTTCTGGTTTTGCTTTTAGCCTGACTCTTGTGTTTATGTTGCATGCGTGCCATCAGGTATGACAAAGTTTAACTTTTAAAACCATTTGTTCGAATGCAGTCTGCTATTAAGAAACCACGCAAGACGCCTGGTGAAAGGAGTCGTGGAGAGCCCGGCACGCGAGGTCGGGGCAGAGCAAATGGTCATCCTCAACAAAATGGAGACGGTGATCCGGTCACCTTATTCGAAGTAGTAAAGATGGGAAAGAGCGCGATGCAGGTATTCACAGTTCACACACAGTAATATCACTTCTGATTTGTTTTATGCTTTATTTAGCTTACATTTTATATAATTGCACTTACCTCTCATAGGAATTGCTGGGCAAATCCATGCAGGTTTTAGGAGCCAATGGGAACTTACAAAAAATGAGAGGAAAAATGAATGAATTTGTTAACATTCTGCCATGCTTTAGAAATTACTTTGGTATGAGAGTGTAAGCAAGTCCCAAATCTAGTTATGTAAAAAAAAAAAAACTTTACTTTCTCTAACTGAGGGACCACTCTTGTTGTGTAGTAGAGGTATAAAATAATGTTTAATGTGATTTTTCTAATTTTTAAATTGTAAAAAATAGAGATTTGTAGAACATCTGATGGAGTTCTGTATTATCAGTGACTTATGATATAAAATTGTGCTGATATGCATGTAGAATCTTGTATATCTGTTTTATTCACAAACTATTATCTCTTTCATAGTCTGTAGTAGATGACTGGATTGAGTCGTATAAACAGGACAGAGACATGGCACTACTGGACTTGATCAATTTCTTTATCCAGTGTTCAGGATGCAAAGGTAACGTTTGTGGATGTTTTCCCACATTGGTTTAGACTTGGTGTATACAGTTCTGGCCAGAGTCCAGCAAGACTCCCAACATAAAGAATCTTTACAAACCGATTTGTTCCTAAATAATCAGATGTTGCCCTAACATGTCCATTCAAGTATTTGTTGGTCTTGGTTTGTAAATGCTAGTCTGAAAAGCTTCACACTCGGCAAATATGTTAACGCATTGAACTTGCTTTAAGGCTATTTCACACTAACAATTCTGATACTGGTGACAACTTGTCAGAGATCGGATAGAGTAGAGAGCACTCACCCACTCCTGCAGCATTGCTCCCTTGCTTGCCGAACCAGTAAGATGTTTGCTCCTCCCTTTACTTGTAAGTGAGATTCTGCTACATTTTCGCAAGTGAGGTAGCTGTGTGATCGGGACAGACGACAAGTAGTAGTGATCCAGTTGCTGAATGTGACATTGCCCTTAAACAGCTTGATTCCTTTCAAATAGGGCTGCAACAACTAATCGACATAATCGATTATAATCGATTATTGAAAAAGTTGTCAACTTTTTCAATAATCGATTAATCGGCTTCCGATCAGTTGGCTCTGAATGACTTGTAAATGCTTTCTGAACACAGATTTTTTTTTTTCACAGTAGCATTTACAGGCTAGGATTAGCGTATGGCTATGTGTAGCGGGCCTGAGTTAAAAGTTTGTCTTAATCAGCAGTTTTGATTTTGGCCATCTTAGAAAGACATTGTTGAAGTGACACTAAATTTAGGATTAAATCTTAAAAATACATTCGAGTCCCCTATTTATAAAAATGAAGATTATATGTGTATTACTCAGCTGTAGATCCTGTGTAATGACTCGCTGCCTGACTTCCGCTATCAGGAAGCCGGCGGCGAGTCATTACAAGCCGGCCGGCTTCCTGATTGATCCGGAAGCCGGCTCTATGCTCCCTTGTCACCAGGGGACACTACTTGGTGGCGAGGGAGCATGGAGCCAGCTTCCTGGCCAATGAGAAAGCCGGGCGGCGTGTAATGACTCGCCGCCTAGCTTCCTGATTGGTCGGGAAGCTGGCCAATCAGCAAGCCGGTCGGCGAATCATTACCCGCCCCCCGACTTTCTGGTTGGTCGTCACCAGGTGACGAGGGAGCATGAAGCCGGCTTCCCGGGCCAATCAGGATGCCGGGCGGAGTGCAATGACCTGTTACCGGAAATACTCGCCCAAATACTGGGTATCTGCACCAATACTAGTTGCGGTGCATCCCTAGTTGCGGTGCTTGAATACTTTTTTGAGATTTAACTCCTGAGTTTAGTGTCGCATTTGTTTTGATAAATTACATTTTCAAAAGTGATCACTCAGCACATGGAGGGGATGTTGCAAAGACAGGAGCAGACAAAATATGGAGCAGCTGTGTGTAGCAACCAGTCAGCTTCTAGCTTTCATTTTTTAAAGCTTAAATGAACAAGCTGGAGATAGAATCTGATTGGTTACTATGCACAGCTGCTTCAGTTTTAGTAAATTCCCCCAATTGTGTGTATGCTAAAATACATCTGTTAGGAGAGAAATATGGGGGCTGCTGCTGGCTTCCTGAGAGTGCTAGTTGCTTGGCTGTGTCTGGCTTTAGTACTTCTGAATGACAAACCCTGAAACAGGCATGCAGCAAATGATTGTCAGAATTCCTTAGCTCTCGCCTCATTTTCGGTCACTGAAACAAAGTGTTGGATCCAAAGCAATGGCAACCTACAGAATTGTCTCGGGACAAGTGTACTTGTACAGAGCATCATCTGCTAAGGTCGATGTCATGACATTGCGATAGAATGGTACAACATACAAGAAAAAAAAACAGACTTTTGTTGTAAGCTGTCGGGTACCCTCTATTCTAACAAGTGAAAATAAGTGTCAGGCAGTCTGTAGGCTGTGAAAGTATTGAATAAAATGAATCAATCTACATTGTTTCCTCTCTGTTAATACTGACTTGATCACTCGTATATGTTCTGTGTAGGCACTGTAAGAATTGAGATGTTCCGAAACATGCAGAATGCGGAGATCATCCGAAAAATGACTGAGGAGTTTGATGAGGTATGCAGCAGTTGCATCTCTATACGGCTTAAAATGTCTAGTTTATTTTCCACTTCTTCTAGTTTCATTCAAATAGTAGATATTATATATGAGCTGCTAACAGTTCTCTCCCTTTTTATTTATTGTTTAGGAAAATCAAAAAAATCTTATCTTAGAACTGAATGTTAAGGGTATATTGTTATCATGCAAATATTTGTTCAGTGCAGTATCTGGAAGTTTAGCCCAAATGCCATCAAGGTTTTTCAGTATTGCCACATGTGTACGATGCTGCTCTTTTGTTTGAGTTGAATGGCCAGATACTTAACATTGGGAACTTTAAAATGGATCTATATTCTCAGAAATCAAGACTTTCTTTGACAAGCCCAGATGGGAGTGTGTCTTGACTGTCCGTGGTTCTTGTGGGAGATTGGGCATCTCCAGACAGAAAGTGTGCTGCTGTACCCCTGAAAATTCCATTGGAAAAGGGGGAAAGAAATTACAGAGCAACCTAGTTTTCCACCAAGAGCCAGAGGAAGATGGGACAGAAACAGGAGGGGCTGGTGTTCTTTAATTTCACTAGGGAAGTAGAAAAACCCCTGGTATGTTTATATATTGGTCATTGCCCACAGTGGAAAGATTTTCTTGGCCCCCTTTGTGGACATCAGGAAAGAAATGAATGGGAAGCCTAATCAGTGGGGACATAATGAAAGGAGCTTTTTAATACAGCGTGGAAAGGTTAAAACCCTTTGTGGAGGCATGCAACACTAAAACCCTGACAGGTGCATTGACCATTTCACGCTTTATCTAGAACTAAAAGATTATCCGGAGTTCCACTTTGCACAGGGCCTGTGTCAGAAATATCTCCGGTAGTACAGAATGTCACCAGCACACCAAATGATGAGGTCAAGTGTTCTCCCTTCATTGGTGCATATTGTCACAATGAAGCAACGTTTTCGGGGCCGCGCAGGGTCCCCTTCATCAGGCACCGTGTGACCCTATGCAGCCCCGCAAAAGCTGCTTCTTTGTGACAATATGCACCAATAAAGGACGAACACTTGAACACATCGTTTGGTGTGCTGGTGACATTCTGTACTACGTTTGAGGCCTGCAGTGCCATCCACTGTCATTACAGCACCCACTTTCAGGGGTTCTTCAGCAAGGAGTGCGGCAGGACATCCCAAGAAATATCTCCTGTGCACCTCTGTATCCAATTTTCCTATTGCTTCTAGTGAAGCAGTCTGCTCCTTGTTACAAGCCATAAGCTACTTTATGGCCTTACCACAACTTCCCTGCCTCAGACGTTAATATAGGTGCAGGAGTTCTTTAATAAAAATTCAAACTTTTTGCTGGTATTCCTATCCATAAAGCCTTGTTACTGTTTAAATACACATTTGATTAATTCGTAATAAAATATATAGACACACACTGCATGATGGTAGGTCAGTGTGGATAAGCCCAACGTCCAATAGATATAGAAAATCACCAATGCACTTTATTTGCAACAATTGTCAGACCACAAAGGGCATAATGCCCACAACTGTTGCTAATGGATGCACTATTTCTGCCATGTAAATGTGTTGAACTTAAAATAAACGTCACTGGTTCTCCAATCTCATTTTCTTTTTTATATGCATATTTCCTCTTGGATAGAGTGGAGAAGGATTTCTATAATGTTTTTAAAGATGAAGTTTATTCTCCTGTAATTTCCTCTCCCTGGTTTTTCAGTAACTTATCTAATATACAGACTAATATACAATAATATTGCTATTCATGCATTCCTGTTCATGACTGGAATGGTGTCGCAAAGAGAAATTAAACCCGACTCTTAATTCTTTCCCACTCTCCAAAATTGAAAAAAATAACCATTTGCCTTAAGTTTAGTACAGCCTGTGTATATTGTCACAATCATTCTAGCATATATGTCATTTTGAAGATGCACTTCACATTCACAATAATGGTTTGAAACCTTTACATTCTTGAAGCGTTTCTCAGACCAGTGTCTTTTTTTCTTTAGAGGAACTTAAGCAGAATTAATTTCATGATATCATTTTTAGCACATATCATTTCAACATTACAATAATAATTTTCATATGAAAGTAAAACACTTGCACAGATGTGTACTGTATCAGGTTCCCTGTCCTACTTATAGCTCAGGTCCCTCGCAGGTCCACCGCTGCAGAGAAACTACAAAAAGACAGAAATTGCTAAGCACATAGGGGTAATTCCCCATAACCGTAAGCCAAGACTAAAGCAGGTGTTCTATAGCAAGAGCTACTTCTGGGGGCCAATAAAGTATTAATAGAAGATATCATAACTTGACATGTGATAACTGAAATGTCATAACTTGTAATGAAATATTTGGATACTGTTTAAGCTTTTTTCTAAATTTCCTTCTTTTCACCAATTTTTTAGGATAGCGGAGATTATCCTCTAACAATGCCTGGACCACACTGGAAGAAATTTCGATCCAACTTCTGTGAGTTCATTGGCGTTCTCATCCGACAGTGTCAATACAGCATAATCTATGATGAGTATATGATGGACACTGTCATTTCACTGCTGACTGGCCTCTCTGACTCCCAGGTTCGAGCTTTCAGGCATACAAGCACACTTGCAGGTAAAAGTTTGTTATGATTCCACTTGTGCCAATAAACAGCAGTGGAATCTTGCCTTCTCAGTTACAGGGTGTTAGTTGGATGAAGTTCAATCATCTTTAAATGCTCTTCTCCTTCTCCTATGAGGTGTTAATGGGGTCAGACAGTGAGGATTTAAAAAAAAAAAAAGTTTCTGATCAGCATAGAATTTAAATTGAACTCTTAGTTTATCCATACTGTGCCATAATAAGTTTTCTTTCAAGCAGGCAAAATAAGCATCCTATGCCTCTCAACACAGTTCTTGAGCAACCAATTCTTGGACTGGGGAAGCAAATAGTGAATTCTGAAAAAGTTAGTGTTGCGCAATAGGAAAAGGTGGAGGAGGAATGTGCAAACTGCTTTTTTTTTCCTTTTTGCATTATCCATTCAGGGGCACACATAGTAGATGATCTTAGCGCAATGGGTTATACTGCCGCCATCAGGAGGTTGGCACACTAGCAAACAAAAATGTTAAGCCAGCCCCCTGTGTAACACTGCCTCTAATCGCCATGCCTCGGTTTTAGAGCCTAGTGTTCCGTAGGAGGTTAGATACTTTTTCCTCTGTTCTGGTGTGTAAAACCCTACATACAGTTATACAAATCTTTGTTTTCTTTCTTTTTTTTTCTTCTGTCAACTTTCTCAGTATGTTGAAAAGAAAAGATGCTGTTTTCTGTTTAATTAAGATATCTAATATGCTGCTCGAGCTGGTCTCTATGCAGCAATTATTTGGATCTGTGTCTGCTCAGTAAAATCTTTGAAGGCTGCAACTAAACCCTGCTGGACCTAAGATTATGCAGCTAGCCTGGAATTGGACCTTAGAACACGGAGCTCTGCTTGTGGTGCTTTTCAGACTCTTGTGTACTGTTAACTATAGGTTGCGCTCCAAGTCTGGACCTGTTTTGAGTCCCATAGTACATGGAGACGGTTTTTTTACTCCCATGGGTTGTTTCTGTCCTGATCTGTATACAGGTTCGCTGTTGCCCTTTTCTTGGTTCATGACCTCTCTTGATGGGCTCTTCTCCATACAGGCTTCCTTTCCAGATATGATTTCTTCCATAGCACATGTGTCAAACATAAGGCCCGCAGGCCAATTCATGTGGCCCTTGCAACTGTGCTGCAGTTGGGGCACCCCCCTCGCCTCTGCCCCCACCTTGTCTCAAGCTTTCTCAGCTACCAGCATACCATATTGACGTCAGTCTTGTACATGGTTTACACTCAATTAGGATTATAATTACCTGGATGGATTTATGTTTCCCTGGAGATAACATGACAATTCTTTTTTTTTTTACCCCTTTTTTAATTTTTTTTTACTATGTAGGTTATTAAGCGCATGATGGACTTTTTTAGGTACACTATTATTAAAGAGGTTGTTTTTCTAACTTTTAGTGCGTGTGACTTATCTCTCATGTTTTTTCTTGAAAGCTGATTTACAGCCTTACCTTAAGTTTTGCATAGTTGTACAGGTTCCTTTCCTGCACTGAAATTGCTTCATGTGATTGCACTGCACCCTGTGCAGCAAGTCAGGGTCTCATTTCCTGGCTGGTGGACATCCTGCATTATTTAATGCTTTTCTTCCCAGCTGAACTGTCCTTGGCCCCCTGCTTTTTCCTTCATTGGATTTTAGTTCAGTCAGTCACGGAGGCTCAGTAACACGTGGGCAGTCTTCTGTTATTGGCAAGCTATGTGCAGCACCTCCCCACCATCCACGATCTGCTAACACTGAGCACAGAATCAAATCACTGGGTCTAAAGTAAGATATGTAATTAAAACAGGCTTTATTTAAACATTTCATTAGCATGTTGATAAATGGAGGAGGATTGAGCCAAGTATGTGACAGCTCACCAGTGCCAGAATGTAAATCGATGCAGCATAAATGGGATTCTAGAATACCACATCCTATACAATGTTACATAGTAGAGTTTTAGAGTAAAATTGCCTGGGATTTTAAAGGGGGTCTATAAAGTAAACATAATATAGCAGATTGATTGAAACTAAGTACAAAAGACATATTGTTTATTCATTATAGGAGAAAGTTTTTATAAAAGTTACAGTACACTCATCTCATCACTCATCTTAAAAAATCAGCATGAAAGTATTAAATTGCTCAAAAATGGTGATAGGCTATAATCTATATATCTGTGTCAGTTTCACAATACAGTCGTGCCTACTCCCAAAAGTTACTGTTGATTTTAATATGGGTTCTGAAATACTCAGTTTTTCCACCGTAATGTAATTACAGTGCCACCTTGTATCGCTGTTAGTTTTCATGTTCAGCCTGCTCTGTGTCTGGGGCAGATTATAACTATGAATATCTTTATGTTGCTGCCCCTCACTGGTAAACTTTAGAACTTCGGTATTGTAGATTTTAATGCAATTTTTCTCCCGTTTTCATGGTATGAATTTAACTTCTGACAGTTTTTTTTTAACTCTTGGCGCTAATGGCTGCCAGCTGAATGATCCACTTGCTGTTGTATACTCAGTTTTCAACAGTTTATCACAGTTTTTCACACAGCTTTGAGGGTCTGCTCATCCAAGGCTCTGGGGCTTCCACCACGAACATAGAAAACAAAACATAGAGCGCCACCTCCGGGTGTAAAATCATTTATCAAGATAAAATAAACAAGGGATATTTGTACTCGCAAGCAAACGTTTTCATCACTCTTTAACAACAAAGAGGCCACACTGTCTGTTAACACAACATGGTATCGCCCCGACTATGTACCCCGGTTGCCTCCAGTCACATCACCGTCCAACTGCCGCAGTCAGCCAAAATTGACGCGTTTCAGGGGCAAGCCCCCTTCATTAGAATCATAGCTTGCTTTCCCTGAGAAAGGGATATAATACTGGAAGCCGACCAATCAGAAAAAAATCTCCATTATGACATATCTTGGAGTGATTGGCTCAATTTTACACACGGAGCTGGCGCTCTGTTCCCTTTTGTTCTGTATTTAACTTCTGTCCTGCTTCAGTTACACCTCTGTTCTTCACTGTGGCTGTCTTTAAATGACACTGGGGTTTTGTTTTTTTGTAATCTGTTTGTAGTACACCTGGAGTGGAATATCGTTCTGAGTTGTAGTTTTTAGAATTAACATATTTCATTTTTTGTTTTATAAATTGATAGTTTGTACCATTTAGTTCTTTTTCCCCTAATACTCAGAATTTGTTGGAACTATGCCAAACTTATACATTGTTATCATAGGAGAACCGTGTGATAGTACTCCTTTTTTTGGAGCCAAGTTTCATGGTATTAACTACTGGTCTCTAATGTTCAAGCCACATAGTTATCGAGTCTTCAGACCTTTACGTTCTATCACACACTGTTCAAGTGTCAAATTAATTTTAGACAAGATTCTTTTTCCTCATCTTTGATTATATGTTTTTCTTCCATTGTTAGTCTTTAATTAAAACACAACTCTGGTATAAACTAAAGCTTTTATTGTCACAAATGCCCTTACGGTGCGATGGAATAGCTAGTTATATATGTATAAACTTTGAACTGCCTTTCATTGCAAGTCTCAACTCTTGCTGAAGGTTGTACAGTGGCTTACATATGTACTAGAAGGCATCAAACACATAGGCTGAACATAATTATACTTAGGTTCAGCTATAGTGCAGAGACCACCCATTTTTTTTATGTAGTTGCCTATTTGTCGCTGCTTAATGCTGGGATAAAGGTGCAGAGCTCAAACAAAAGCTGGTCTGTTATCATATTAGACAAAGTGGTCGTTTTTGCAACACCGTAAAAACCTTTTACGTGAAGGATCTCTCTCCCTCTTTTCTAAGACTTTGCAAGAGCCAGGCCTTTGAGTACGAACTCAGCAGCAAGCTATGTACAGTTTAGATGGGAACAGGAACGAGGTAAATAACAGCCAGCCTTACAGTGAGATAATTCTAATGCATGGTAAAGGTCTGAGCTGGGACAACATTCTGGTTATATGCCATGTGTACATTCAAATATTGTTTCTTCTCCTCCTACAAGAGGATTTGGACACTGCCCAAAAAACAAACTGTAGACCAGACTAAGATGACGACTCCTACTATTGGCATGCTTTAGCTTTCTGCTAGTGTCCCAGGCGGATTTACATTTTCTCTTTTAGCTCTGCTGCAAATCAAGACTCTTTATGTTGCTGCTGGAGCTCGTCTCTTCAGTCGGAGCTGTCTTCAACCTGACTGTGCGAGTGCTCCTTCTGTACCCCACTGGACTGGATGTTGCAGGAATAGCCTGGAAGTGACCTTTTGGGTGCTGGTTTCCACATAGGTCACTCTACGTTAAGGGGTAATGCTGTGAGACTGAGCGCTGTCCAGTCTTTGCTTTAATGAGCTTTCCTCCACAGCTATAAATCCTAACTTATAAGCCACCACTCTGAAGGATCAGCCTTTTGCTTCTACCAGTGCTGTTTCCAGTCCTGAGTCCTTTAGAATACCTAGGGCAACAAAGATTTTTCACTGGTCAAGTCCCTGGACATACTTATTTGTGTGATAGGAGGACAGGGTTATCCCTAGCTTAGTGATCCAGGAATCTAGCTATGCAATCTAGGAAGTCCTTGTTCTGGAAAATCTTCACAACAGATGGCAGCCTGTTGAACTGTGGAGCAGTCATGGGCACCCTGTTGGTGGGGGGAATCAGCATCCTTGAACATTGGACTTGTTTTCTGTTTTCGCAGTTTTGGACTATTCTGGAAGGTCATCCATTCTGAATTCAGACAGACAACGCTGCGGCTGTGGCATACATCCACCATCAGGGAGCAACCCAAAGTCTCCTTCAGCAAGAGAGGTAGATAGGATATTGTCTTGGGCAGAACTTTAAGTCTTCTTTCTAAATCCCAGACGTGGACAATTAGCAGGCAGAGTTCTTCAGCCAACAGCGCATAGATTCAAGGCAGTGTTCCAGGACCTGTTCCGCAGGTGGGGGATGCTGGAGGTGGACTTCCTGTCCTCCCAGGTTTAACAACAAACTGAAATGGTTTGTCTTCAGTTTCAAGGATTCTCTGGCTAAAGCAATGGGTGCTCTGTAGCACTGTGGGACCATTGCACCCTGATCTATGCTTTTCTTCCCATGGAGCTTCATTTTCAGTATTGTGAAGGAGGGCATTCCATTGATGTTCATTGCTTTTGACTGGCTCAGGCAGATGTGGCACACTGACCTGGTAAGACTTTTGGTGGGCGACCGTGGCCAGATCTCCAGGATCTTTTTTTCTCATGGATGGGTTTGCCCTTCAAATGACAGGACTGTTGCTTTAATGACAGGGTTGTTGATGACCAGATTTTGAGAGGGGCAGCTCTGAATCTGAGATTACTATTCTGCCAAAAACTTGATGAATCCTCTTTTTTTTTTTTTTTGCAGCTAGGTCAGCATTTGGATCTCCTCTCTATTAAGGTGAGGTTTCTGCCCTTCCTATCTAGTTTCAGAGATCCTGGGCTTCTCGCCCCTTGATTAATACTTTCTACTTGTCCCTGTTCATTCCCCCGTGACTCCATGTGATCTGAGTCCCATGAAACTGCTTCTGTTTGTTCCTTTGTGACTGTGGATTCTGTATTTGGTTCTCTCTGTGCTTCATAGACCACAGTTTAACCCCTTCATGACTGGAGACGTACACTGTATGTCCCCAGCATGAAGTGCCCAAATGACTGACCACGTTCACTCTACGTGATCAATTATTTGAAGCTTTTAAAAGCCGCTGAGATCAGCGGTTACCGTTCATTAATGGATGCCTTGTTATTGAGACATCCACTAATAAAGGAAATAAGATTTTGTAAAAGCTTAATTCTTTCATCAATGGAAGAATTAAGCTTTTACAGATACCTGATCGCTCTAAGCGATCGAGTATCTGACAGTGACAAAAGAGCGGCGTGAATGGGGCTGCTATATCACTGTTTGGACAGCTCTGTACAGATCCCATGTGTACAATGATACAATGTTTCATTTTGCTACATATTTCTATGCTGCTTAGAAATCTATAGCAAAATGAAACATTTGTATCATTGTAATAAAAACATTGCATAAGACTTCTGATTGTTCTAAGAACATCAGAAGTCTTTAGTGACATCTGAATTTGACCTGCTGCAGATTCAGTCACTAAGGTTATTATTGGCTGCTCCTAAGTTTTAAGCAGCCTATATCCAAAAAAAAATATTTAAATTATCAAGCAGTCATAGTGGCTGCCTAATATAATAGACAAAAAAGTGTAAAGAAATAAAAATTTTACAAAATAAAAGTTATATATACAAATATATTTTACCCTATAATTATACAAATTAACCCCTTACAATGCAAATCTGCAGCTGAGCTGCAGCTTTGTTTTTCACCCTAAGGGGTTAATTTTTCTATTTAACCCCCTCATGAAGGCGTTGTTCAAAGTATGTCGCTGTCACTAAGTGTTACAGTTATTGACACTTAGTTACAGTGACATTGTAGGCCACCTAACCACTATTAGGTTTTACAGCAAAAAATAAAATGTTAGCTTTTTGTTTTTAGGCCCAGAAGTACAAAAAAAATTCTCATCCTAGGGATTGGAGGTGTTTCCAAATAAATTTATTTGAATGCATTTACAATCAAAACTGGGAAAAAGTGTTTTCGTTCCGGTTTTTTTCCTCCTTTTTTTTGTATCTTTTATTCATCCTACGTGAGGCGTTAGGCACACATATGTGATATAAATATATAACCCTATCTGTCCTCTATAAATACAATATATAATATGTGTGGGTGCACTTAGTAAGAAAGTATTTTACTGCCGTGGAAGAATCTCACAAATGCACAAAAGTGCTTCAGTCATTAAAAGAGAACTATGGGGTAAGTGTTTTTCTCCATAGTTCTCTTAAGGGTCACGGGAGGACATATACTAGCATCCTCCCATCACCCAAAGCTCAGTATATCGCGAGCTACAGCTCACGCAATACTGAGACCACCGCAGCCGGACGGACCCCGACATTACTGTTGAGATCCACCCAGCTGCGTGAGTGACAGCTGGCTCTGCCCGGCCCCTCCCCGTCCGTTCCTCCACTCAGCGCTGGAGAAGCAGGAAGGGGGGAAATCCCCGTGGAACGGTGACGGTATGTGTTCGCTCACTTCCCGATCTATTGAGCAGATGTGTGACTGTTTCATTGTCACACATCGGCTCAAACTATGAGGATGAGTGATTTTCACTCACCTCATAGTTCTCCTTTAAGGACAGAAACTTAAAAAAAGCTCAGTCATGAAGGGGTTAAACACACTAGAGACATTTTTTCTCTCTATTCTTAAGGTGAGTATTCCTTTATAGCCAATACTTTTGCGAAATGAGTGTCTGAACTTTTGGCCTTATCCTGCAAGGAACTTTTTGTGGTGTTAATGCCCAGATTTCCTTCTTGCCTAAGGTGGTTTCTGCCTTGAACACCATTCTTCTCCCCCCGTGTCTGGCTCCAGTTCTACAAAAAAAATTCCCTCCATTGTCTGGATGTGGTTCGGAATGTAAGATGTCTCGCTGCTTCTTTCAGGAAGTCTTGATTCCCTTTTAGTCATCCCATTTGATCTATTTAAGGGTACACCAGCCTCTCGTTTCACCATCTCTTAAGTGGCTCAAACAGACCATCATTCAAGCTTATGGTCTCAAGTATTGGGTTCCAGACGCCCCCCGGTCACGGTGCATTGTATGCTAGATCTATGAGTGTTTCTGATGCTATGCGGCATCTACCAACTGTCTCTCAGATTTATTAGGCTGCCATCTGGTCTTGTGTTCACATGTTTCCTATCTTGCAGAAGGTGGATGTTGTGCCCTCATTTAATGCCAATTTTGGGTGTCACATCTTTCAAACAACTCTTTGAGCCACAGGCAGTTTCCACTTCTGTTTTTTTGAGCCTGTTAGCATTTGATTGTTGTGCTGCCCACCCCTTAGTTGGACTGCTTTTGAACGTGCTGAAGGTGAGAGATTTTGTCAATGGACGACGTGGGCAGTGGGAAAGGTAAGTATTCAGTTTCTTCTTTTAGTATTTTTCTTCTGTTTAGTATTTTTTGCTTTTAAGATGAAGCGTAGTATATTTTCAGTGACCACACATTTATTTTTCTACAGTATCTAAATGTTCTGTGTTTTTTATTTTTTTACATGCCTGCTTTCCAAGATTTTGATTGTATTTAAATATTTTATTAGATAAACCGCTAGAAGTATGGTATATTCGCTACTAAACTGACTCTGCCTAGTAATTGCCGGGATGAGATATCAGCCTCATAGACGGGATTGTTTTCATTAAGTCGGGCAACTCAGACTTGTGTAGCACTGTGTGAAGCAGGAATCCCAGCCTGCATATGTATATACTGAGCAAATATTGCTACCGATTTGTAAATGTAACATGTTATGGTTAAGGCAACTATTTCCAAATATACTAGTCTCAATGCCTTTAAACTTTACATCGAGCATTTTATAAATGTTTATGCAGACGGCAATTACTTGGTTGTCAGATGTATCTTTCAGTGGGAGCAGGAAAGCAGTTATGTAGCCTGGTGCTATATTTCATCCTCATAGAAAAATTGAAGTTCTACAAGGAATAACTTTGAAATAACAAAACCTTTTAGGGCCATTCACACTTCTGCATTTTTAATCTGTTAAAGGGGGTATTAAATGTTTTACTTGCAGTAGCTATAGGTGATCTTGCTGGCAACTTTAATCTTTTAATTACTAACTTGCCAATTCTGGTTAAAAAAAGTGTTTTTCTTCTTGCTCCCTCTGTAGCAATGAAGCTGATGACTGCACTGGTGAATGTTGCCCTTAACTTGAGTATTCACCAGGACAACACTCAGCGGCAGTATGAAGCAGAGCGAAACAAGATGATTGGCAAGAGAGCCAACGAGAGGCTGGAGCTGCTGCTACAAAAACGAAAAGAGGTATGCCCCACATTCTCTCTTATGCACTCAAAGCTACATCTTCACTGTACAGTCCATTGGTCATTAAAGCAGGCAGGCATATGGATAGCCATGTTTAAATTAAGATGAAAAGTCTTGTGGTTTCACTCTGCTCCGTTTACCCAAAGTTCAAGGTACAACATTAGAGTGCAAAAAAAATATAAGCTGTATTTGTTGTTGGGTGCTTCCTCTACTGAACCTTCTGCACTAAGTATTGGTCCATAATGTTATGAAGGGTTGTGACTCTGCATGTCTACAAATTTCCCATTCAAAGAGTGCTGCCATGCAGGATGTTTTTCCCCTAATAACATGGTGCAATTTTCGCCTCTTGAATGAAATACTGCAATTAAAGTAGACCTTTACTCCCTTTGGCTAAAAATCACATCAGCATACAGCTCTGCATGCTGATATCAATAATTTTTCATTCATTAGTTAAACATATTTTAATTTTGCTTACAGTTTCTTTTCTTTTCTACTTCCTGGTTCTCTTTGGCAAAAGCATTTTCGTACCCGGAGATCACATGTGCCAGAGTTCCAGGAAGTAACGGTAGATGGATTCATGTGCTCTTAGTAAAAGAAAAACAAGGTATGCTAAGATTAACAAAAAGTCTGCAATTATCTAGAAGTATGTGTTTATAGATTGTCATTACTAAACATTTCTAAAGCTGCCGCTGTTGTTGTTTTGAAGATATGGGTAAAGTTTGAAACTGAAATCATAAGATACTTACAGGGAGCATGGTCTACCTGCTGATAGTTTCAGGCTTTCAAACAGACATTGCTGTACGGTGCCAATCTACCCCAGTCCCTTCATCCTGTAGTCTAGTCATTCTGGAACACATTCGTTGGTGATGCCAGAACATCCTCCTTCCTGTATTCTACACAGAAAATCTGATGTAAAATGGAGACAAAAAGTACTAAATAGTTTCTCCTAACTACCAATTAGATTTAAATCGGTCTTGAGTGTTTGAATGTGGTTAATGATGTGGGAAGCGGGGAGAGAGGGACCACAGCAAAAGTTTTAGGAAGTACACACCCACTTCCCTGATGCCAACCCTGTATAGAGTTCTATGTTTGTGCTTACTCTGTATTACACAGAGCTCAGATTAAGTTAATCTGAGTGAACTTTCTGTTTTTAGTGTAGTAGGTCACCAAATGCTTTAATTTGTCTTCGGTTACTAGTTCAGTTTTGTAAACAGCACTTTAAAGCTGAACCTGCTTCTATGCAACAAGAAGGTAAATGTTTTTGCATCACTCTGTGGAGAGGGGCAGACTGCAATAGTAGTAAGATTTAAATGATTTACAGTGGGCAGTTTTTAAACGCGCCTAAGACGGGGAAATAAATCAAAGTGTATATATGTACAACATTACCCTAAGGGATCATTCACATGGGTGTGCACATCCGTGCGCGTGCAGAGTCCCAATCTCGGGAGGGACAAATGCTGCATGCAATTGCGTGCAGCAGCCTGCGTCTCCTAATGGGGAGATGCGGTTGCATGAAGTTACATGCAGACCCGAACCTACACATCCATAGGATTCGTCCAGATCGGGCACCAAGACCAGCACGGATGTAGGTTTGGGTCTGCATGTAACCATGTGCAGCCGCATCCCCCCCCCATAGGGAGGTACAGACTGCCGCACTCAATTACACGCAGCACCTGTCCCTGCACAGGTATGCACGCCCATGTGATTGAGCCCTAAATATCAACCACATCGTTTTGTTTAGCAACTCAAACCAGTAGTCTTTCTCACCTTGTAGCTTATGTGATAACTGTTATTCTCCGGTAATGAGCAAAGAGCATATTTTTCAATGCACCCTAAAGACTGCAAGTTATAAACTGTTTCAAACTCTCGAGGAGCCAACGTATTTTCTCTCTTGCACATTAACAAGATGTGAAGTTCTCTGCTACCTGTAGACATTGTTTAGAATTTTTTTAATTATGTTCTATATAAAATGGAATACTCCTTTATTTGAAGCTTCTTGATTAAGGTGAGATTTATTTATTTTTACTTGATCATTATTTTAAGTTTTTACATATTTACTTATTACCAGCTTCAGGAAAACCAGGATGAAATAGAAAACATGATGAACTCCATTTTCAAGGGCATCTTTGTCCACAGATACAGGTAATGCACTTAATGTAAATGTGGTAGTATGATCTTACATTGAGGCCTCCTTCACACTGAGCTTTTGTAGCGCTTTTTCCGCTAAAAATAAATAAATTCTCCAGATAAAGCCCTCCATTTATTTCAATGGTGCTGTTCACCTCTGAGCGTCATGTCACCTGTAGCAAAACGCCCGCCGCTTTTAGAAAGTACATGAGCTAATTTTTGGCAGATTCTCTGCTTCTTGGCCTTATAGACTTCAATGGAAATGCTCAAAAATGCAAATTTTTACGCATGTCTGTCCATTGACATCAATGTGCAGCAATCTGCTTATTAAAACTTGCAAATTTCACAAGTGTGCTGAAACTCTCTTCCTTCTTGTCGCTCAAGTGTGAATGAAGCGCAAAGTACACGTCATGAGAGAAATGTGTAGGCTGCTACTGCTGACTACTTATGAAGTTTTCAGGCGGTCATGCAGAGGTTTTTATTTTTAGTTTGTTTTTTTTTTAGTTTTTTTTTTAATCACTGTTACAGAACAAGTAAAGAGATAAACTCTAACTTTATGACTTTCATTTTCTGTATCCTTCTTGTCTTAAGCCAAGCAGAGCCAGGCAACTATCTTTTTCAGGTGGCAGCCAGAAATAAAAGCCAATAGGTTTCTCTCACGATGGTAACTTTTACGTGAGACCTGCTGGTTAGATGCACTTCTTATTTTTAATATTACTAAATTTGTTTTTTGAAAATGAATCTTTCTGCAGAGATGCTATTGCTGAGATCCGGGCAATCTGTATTGAAGAAATAGGAGTTTGGATGAAAATGTACAGCGACGCTTTTCTCAATGACAGCTACCTAAAATATGTGGGCTGGACACTCCATGACCGGGTGAGTTTTAGAATAATTATATAATTGTGACATGGCTTGTACCAAGCTGGGCACATAGTTTTAAAGAGACCCCGTCTCCAGACCTATTCATTTCAACAAAAATCATTCCATAAGCCTTTGTGTCTTTAGTGTAGTTTGTGTGTTCTGTGCCTGTAGAAGCCCTGAAGTGGCCGGGAGCCTGTTAACTCATGTAAAGCCAACTGTCGGCTTTACAATGGAAGTGATTGGAGCTGCTGTCTGCCCGATCACTTTTACGGGCACTGATGTGTGCAAATAATGCAAACATGGCTGGCAGTGAAAGGATTAAATGGAGAAAATGAGTCACACTATGTTGTGTGAACCACAGTGGACATGTGTGAGAGAGTTGTCTGAGAACATCAGAATGAAAATTATAAATTAGCATGTCAAAGGTAAAGACCATCTCCAAACAGTTTGATCATCTGTGACTGTAGTTGCAAGTATTAGTAAGTAAAAGGTCCACAAGAGTGTAGCCAACCTCCCTGGACATGGCCACAAGAGGAAAATTAACCCCATGTTGAACAGAAGGATAGCTTGAATGGTGGACAGAGAGTGATGCAAGCTGAATTCCAAGGTTAAAGTACATCACTGTCTTATCGCACTTGTCATGCTTTTTTGGATGGCAGCAATTTTAAATCAAGGAGATCCTGGGGGACGCCACTAAAAAACCCAGACTGTTATTTGCTAATATGCATATATATATATATATATAAAATA